GGTGATGCATTAGTGTGGTCTGCACTTCCTCTTCTTTGATTGGGTGAAATGAGTTGAAAGTAATTGGATGAGGGAACCATGGGGAGTGCCCTGCATAATTTCAATAAAACGCAGCTTTAAACGCCGTTACAGCTGGCACAGAACGCTGTAAGAAACGCCATTTTTATGCATCTTTGAACACTGTTTTCTGCCGAGTGGCGGAAAAAACAGCGTTTCCGTCTGTCTTTGAATGCCGCTTTTTATGTCACTCGGATGGTGTGTTCAGGGCGCCATGTGAGAGTTGGAAAAAACGGTGTTTGTCGGAACAGAGCACCGTTTTATTCGGCGTTTTAAACAATTAAACTGCATTTTTTACGCCATTTCTTAACCAAATGGGTTAGAAAAGTGGCGATTTTTGGCACTAATGGCTTGTCATATAGCGACGCAAATCTGCTTCCGAATTTTCGCGGGAGCCGCAACCGCGGGTCATCTCGCTTTTCCATTGACTTTACATGTAAACCTGACGCTGTGTTCGCGTCTATCGCGGTCGGTGTGAACACACCGTTAGGAATATGGGACGTGGTTTGTAAACTGAAACATGCTGAAATTAACAACATTTTTCCACATGTAGCTCCAATTTTGCAATATGATTGTTTTTTTTAATTAGTGTGTGCTCAGCAGCTAGTCTATACAGAATGGCTACCCATATGGAAAAGATATATATAAACCTTATAGAGTTTGTATCTGTCTTGCATGAAACTTGTATGAAAAGCATACAAGAGTGAAAACAGATATAAGATCCCTTGAAAAAGTATATAAATGAAACTTGTATGTTTTGGATACTTACTAAAACAATATATGAAAGTAATGAGAAAGTGGCCACTTTCATGAGTAAATCATATAAGCCTTATATGATTCACTATATTGAAGTAAGCAAATCTTATGCAAGTCTTTTATAAGTTTTTTTCTATTTCTTTTCCGTATGGGTAAAGTTGGGTTTTGTTTTTTTCATTTTTTATACATATTTAAAATGTATTTTATTCAAATTGGTATGTATTTAAATGGTTACACTAACACATTTCAGTCAATGTGCAAATCTACTGTTTATAAGGTTGGGGAAACCTGCAGTCAACTGAGACTGAAGAAGTCTGAAGACTTGGATGAGTGACAAAATGTTTCTCCCACTAAAAACGTTACGTCCAGATGAACAGAATCAAATTTTGGGGAGTTATGAAAATTTAAAAAAAAACATTAAATGAAAAGGTGTGTCCAAACCTTTGACATGTAGTGTATTAGTTCAGAGGTCCTAAATAACATGCTGTTTGGAATCATCACATCATTCCCTAAATCTCAACATGTTGTCATTACAAAAAATGGCAGTAAAAAAACAGTTTAAAAAAAATAGCTCTATAATGCATTATTATTACTTTGACATTCAGATTAATCTAATGACTTTAAAGGAGAGGTGAGAAGTCAGACATGATATTTTAAATCTTCTTGCGATACTTTCTTTATGGTGACAACAGACACCACACTTGTAAGAATCCTAGTGTCTACGTTATAAAGGTTTCAGTCAATTTTCAACCAATTTTTCAATAAGTTAACCTTCAAGGCCTTGGTAGATGTGAGCCAAATTTTAACAGATTGTTTACTCGGCTTTTAAAAAGAAATGGTGCTGTCAAATTCAGTGAAACAAGTAACAAAATTCATTTATTTTACGTAACTTTAAACAGAATGGGCAGTAAGAGAAATGAGTGAATACAGACTGCCAAATCATCACCAAAGAAGGAAGTCTCACCTCAGAAGCGATGACTAAAGTGCCAAAAAGTGCGAGCCAAGCAGTCTCCATCTGTGTAAATCCTCTTTTTTTAATATTCCCTGCACATATATGATTGTAACCAATAATAATTAGAAGAATTCGAAATATTGACCTATATAGACAGCAATGATCTGAGTCTGAGCTCAGCCATCCACATTCAGAAGATTTCAGTCTCTTCCTCTTCCTGATAATGTGTCTCTCACTCCCCGTGTATTTCTCACCCATACACACACACTGAAATTCAGACTTTAGCCACAGTTGTTTACTAAGAATCACTAAAAAAATCATATGAAACTGTTATGTAACAGCCTCAAAACCACCAGCATCTGGGCATCAGATACTGTATGCTCAGTGTTGAGCAGGCGACCACATGCCATATAGCATGTGTAGGGGATTGGGTTTGAGTCTGACCTGCGGTCCTTTGCTGCATCATCTCCCTCTCTTTCTCACTAACTTTCTGTCTATATTCACTGCTACACTATCCAATAAAGGTTTTAATCCTTTTTAAAATAATCTTAAAACAGAGAGACCAGATGATGTGTGCTCATTTTGGACTCTTTCTTAGTCAGATCTGAGTTACTTTATTTGTGGGGTCTCAGCTTTGTGTGAGGTGTGTCATTGCTGATCCCAGGGCATCAACCTGCTGGATCCTTTGTCTTTTAGAGATTTAGAAAAGCTCAGAATTTATTAACATGGCTGTGCTTTTTGTTGATGTTTTTTAAGTTTAGTTTATAATCTTGGCCTCCTGTGGTGCACACTTCTAAAAGTTGTGTTTAGTTAAATTGATATCTGTATTTGTAGAAAAACACAAGCATATTCTGCTTCGTGTGGCTCTTTCATACTTATACTTTATTGATCCCCGTGGGGAAATTCCTCTCTGCATTTAACCCATTCACTCAGTGAAGCAGTGGGCAGCCATTGGGCGCCCAGGGAGCAGTGTGTAGGAACGGTACCTTGCTCAGGGGTACCTCAGGGTAGCCATTCAGTAGATTTGAGCCCCAACCTTCTGGTCATGGGGCCACCACTCTACCTACTGAGCTATCCCTGCCCCCTCTCATTTCAAAATGATGTTTTAGTTTTCCACCACTTGAGGATGCTGCAGGGCAGATCAGAAACTTGTACCCCCCTCCTGGACTAATCTTGCTACAAAACATGTATATTGTCTCGATACTGAGTTTAACATATATGGACACCCCAGTTTAAAAAAAATGAAAATGCTCTGGAAATTATTTCATGGTTCTGCCCTTACAGTATGTGACCCACCTGCCGCTGAGACACAAATGTAAGTACAACAGCTGCAAATTTAGGTCCGGGTAATGAGTAATATCATTAAGAAAAAGAAATGTTTCTGCTGTGTGGGATCATTTTGATCTTTTAACTGCAAATAAGGTAATAGTTCGTTGTCTTTGTCATTGTATGTGTTTTATTATTTTGAAATCAAGCATCTAGGAAGACTGTTCTGGACCAGGCAGTCCTGAATTTTATTATAAAGGACTGCCAACCCCTTAGTATTGTGGAGAGTGTTGGAGAGAAACATTCCAAGATCAGAGGATCCTTTAACGTACTGGGGGAATAGGAAGGCATCTAATCTGAACCTTTTCCACCTGGCTTTACAGTTTTTGTGTACCCCAGCTTCATCTATGCCTGTGAGTTTTCCAAAGCTGGAAAAACATTGGATAAACTTATTTTTCTGAATAGAAATTTATAATAAACTCTGAGTCAATTACATTTAAATGAGTAATATTACATTCACAATACTTTCATTTTAATTTTCACTTAATGTCATTCACAATATATTTTAAAGATTTCTACAATATTTGAAATGTAAAAGATACAAAATGATTCCATGGAAAATACAATACCTTACAGTGTACAAGTATGACCAGGTCATTGAATCAGTCTGTTGTGAGTCTCAAGTTAGTTGCCCGCAATTATATTTAAGGTCCAGCAGCTGTCAGTATGGAGCAAAACAGCAACACTGTGTCGACACAGTATCGATACAGTTTGGGGAATGTGCTGAAATGTTTCATGAGGCCTCATCTACCCATCACTAGTAGTTAGTGAGCTGATACAAGACGGTGCTGGTGCGAATGGGGTGAATGTGGCATGTTGAATAGAGAGCTTTCAGTACCCTGGGAGGGTAGAAAAGTGCTATATAAGAATCACTCCACTTAACATTACTCAAAGCTTTGCAACACGGTCATATCTGGTGGCCAAAAATATGAACAGCTTGAATCTACATATCACAGTTTACTGCCTACTGTACAGAGTGGAGTTCACATTTCTGTCTGATATTGGCCCACCCTTGTGTGTATGTATTTTTTGAGGTGAAAAAAATGTTGTCTTTTTGTTTAATAAATAAATTAGATCAATAAACTTTCCGTATTTAAACATATACCATGGTGTGGTCTTTCTTTTCTTGTGACTTCTTGATGTTGGTAAATACAATAGAAAAAAGATACATATGATATACCTATAATAATTTACAACAAAATATGGAGTGTGTTCCTCCATTTTTGGATGGCATATTCATCTCTGATAGATGAGCTTCGACTGCATTACATTAGACACAGGCAAAAGCCTTAGTATGTAAAAACAGTCAAACCAGTCAGACCTTTTTTTCTCCACAGACGTCAAGAAAAAATAACTTAGCTTACGAACTTAGTAAAGTAACTTTGAGTTACTTGTAGTTTCACTATTTCCAATTTGTACTAGAATTCTAAACTACTCTTTAGATGCAGGTTCTTTGCCATTTACCTGAATAAATTTGAAGATTTCAGATATTAAAAACAAATTCTGGTAAATTTAAAATTAAATCAAACACGCATATGATCCCTTCAAATGTATTGATACAATTCAAATTCCCTTTATTTATCCCCAAGGGGCAATTAAAAAGGCACAGAGACCACCACATAAGACATAGAACATAAAAGCATCAGTATAAAATGACCAATCATAGTTCAGATTCAATGATCAGTTCAATTACCAAGGAACTGAATGTGTGTGGAAGGAAGCAAGAAAAGGATGCAATACTGGGGTGGGAAAGGCTTACAGTTCAGATCTTGAAATGCTGTAGGGACATTAGTGACCCTTTTTTTTGTGTCCTACATCCTGGAAGCATAGTCTACATGTACTTCCTGATGGGAGCCACTCAAACATAATATCAAACATAAAATCAAGAAAGAAAACCCCAAAAACTAAGGAATAGTACACATTTGTTTATTTTACATCTTTATTTGAGATCAAAATGAATACAAGATGTCAGATACATGTATACCTTTTCTAAAACTACAATGCTGTTGGTCCAATGAAATGAAAAAATTTTTACTGCTTATTTTCTTACTGCTTATTTTATTGAACATTTAATTAAAAAATAGAACCAAGATGTGATGCCATACCTGAAACGTGGCAGACTTTAATACAGTGCTGAAAACTGTGCAGAATGTGTAAAAGGAACAGACGTCTTGGAAAAGGCTTTTTGTTTGCCTGTTTACTGAGGAACACATGAGAACATTTCATTCCACATGAGAATTAATTTGACCGAGCAAACACGCTGTCTGAAGTGGGGGGAAAATAAATGAATACCTTATATGATTCACTATATTGAAGTAAGCAAATCTTATGCAAGTCTTTTATAAGTTTTTTTCTATTTCTTTTCCGTATGGGTAAAGTTGGGTTTTGTTTTTTTCATTTTTTATACATATTTAAAATGTATTTTATTCAAATTGGTATGTATTTAAATGGTTACACTAACACATTTCAGTCAATGTGCAAATCTACTGTTTATAAGGTTGGGGAAACCTGCAGTCAACTGAGACTGAAGAAGTCTGAAGACTTGGATGAGTGACAAAATGTTTCTCCCACTAAAAACGTTACGTCCAGATGAACAGAATCAAATTTTGGGGAGTTATGAAAATTTAAAAAAAAACATTAAATGAAAAGGTGTGTCCAAACCTTTGACATGTAGTGTATTAGTTCAGAGGTCCTAAATAACATGCTGTTTGGAATCATCACATCATTCCCTAAATCTCAACATGTTGTCATTACAAAAAATGGCAGTAAAAAAACAGTTTTAAAAAATAGCTCTATAATGCATTATTATTACTTTGACATTCAGATTAATCTAATGACTTTAAAGGAGAGGTGAGAAGTCAGACATGATATTTTAAATCTTCTTGCGATACTTTCTTTATGGTGACAACAGACACCACACTTGTAAGAATCCTAGTGTCTACGTTATAAAGGTTTCAGTCAATTTTCAACCAATTTTTCAATAAGTTAACCTTCAAGGCCTTGGTAGATGTGAGCCAAATTTTAACAGATTGTTTACTCGGCTTTTAAAAAGAAATGGTGCTGTCAAATTCAGTGAAACAAGTAACAAAATTCATTTATTTTACGTAACTTTAAACAGAATGGGCAGTAAGAGAAATGAGTGAATACAGACTGCCAAATCATCACCAAAGAAGGAAGTCTCACCTCAGAAGCGATGACTAAAGTGCCAAAAAGTGCGAGCCAAGCAGTCTCCATCTGTGTAAATCCTCTTTTTTTAATATTCCCTGCACATATATGATTGTAACCAATAATAATTAGAAGAATTCGAAATATTGACCTATATAGACAGCAATGATCTGAGTCTGAGCTCAGCCATCCACATTCAGAAGATTTCAGTCTCTTCCTCTTCCTGATAATGTGTCTCTCACTCCCCGTGTATTTCTCACCCATACACACACACTGAAATTCAGACTTTAGCCACAGTTGTTTACTAAGAATCACTAAAAAAATCATATGAAACTGTTATGTAACAGCCTCAAAACCACCAGCATCTGGGCATCAGATACTGTATGCTCAGTGTTGAGCAGGCGACCACATGCCATATAGCATGTGTAGGGGATTGGGTTTGAGTCTGACCTGCGGTCCTTTGCTGCATCATCTCCCTCTCTTTCTCACTAACTTTCTGTCTATATTCACTGCTACACTATCCAATAAAGGTTTTAATCCTTTTTAAAATAATCTTAAAACAGAGAGACCAGATGATGTGTGCTCAT